ACAGCTCACACTTTGTGTACATATGTATGTACACACAGCGACATACCTATATGTAAAGATATAGCGTGCTTAGACATTAAAATGCGAGCTTTGAATTGCCATTAAATTGGGGGAATCAAAGGGGCATGAAACGCTAGATAATGGCGTCGCATTTAGCGCTCTAGTTTTGGATTAATTCTAGTAGTACCCATGTAGTACTCACCTTTGCCAGCTCTCTCTCGATTTCTCCGGCGCGAATCACCAAAGGACCGCGAACCGCATACTCCATGGCTATGAAGTTGGGATTGATGTTATTTATTTGCAGCGCTTTCGACGACGACGGCATTTTGTGGCTGGTGGCAAACGAACTGAGAAAAAAAAGGAGGGAGGGAATTCACGTTTTATCAACACTTTTGTGTAATATTATTTTGTTTCATATATAGGATATAGGATAGTATATCTTTATAATATCTCTTTTCCACTGGCTTTTTTTTTCGAGCGAGCGAAACTAACCGGCGGACGTCTAACGGTTGAATGAAATCGCCGCTTTTTCGCGTCGCTGCCGCTGCTGCTGCCGCCGTCGACGTTGTCGTCGTCGATTTCGCCGCACGTCGAGTGGCATTGTTGTTGTTGCTGTTCTGCAGGAACGATTTCCAGCGGCGAATGACGTACTGCTGCTGCTGGCGCTGCTGCTGCTGCTGCAAAGCGGCCGAAACTGTGGCAGCGGCGGGCTTAATTAGCATTCGACTCATTATTTCTGCAACAAGAGAAAACCAGTTAATTGTTACTAAAGGTAGAGCTTAAAAAACCAGCGCCTAAATGTCAAAAAATTAGCACAAGAGGAAGAGGAAGAGAATGAGGAACCGAGGGTGTGTGTGCGTGTATAAGAGACCAGCTCACGTTTATAAGAGCGGCGAATTCGGCAGCACAGCTGTTATCACTACACCGATAAAAAACAGCTGCACATTTAAACAGAAATTTAAGAAACTCCAAATAAATTTCACATATAAAATACGCCGTAAAAATATGTATAACTTCCAGTGTCTATATAATATGGATGTTTTACAAACAAAAAAAATATGTGAATTTCAGATGCGGGAAAAAATAATTATTTTTCTCAAAGATAAGTTATTAATATTCAATCGGAATTCTCAATTTATTTAGAGCATTTTCCTCTCATTGTTTATTATTCTGTAGAGTTAAAGAAATCACAATTTTCTCTCTGTGTAACATTTTTGATCTTATCAAACCGGGACAAATTATCAGTAACATTTTTAGGGCTTATCAATGCGGGTTCGATAATTTATGAGGTTTCTGCTTATATGAAGTCAAAATATTTTTGAACTTCGGGAATGGTTCCACTTAAATTTGCCGCTCTGTTGCGGCGAAGTGCATTTAGTTAAGACGCAAACCCCAATAGATGCAGTTGGGCGCGCATTTTAAAAATGCACTCAAACATTTCGTATTATCATGACAGATTTTGTACAAAATTAGTTTCTAACTCCTAGAGTAAAAGGGTTTAGTGTATTAGTGGGAAAGTATAAATATATAAATATACATATATAAATATATATATATAAATATATAAATATATACCTATATAAATGTTGAGAACAGTACCAATTGCATTATTACTTTAAAAATTATAAATAAGTTAAACAGACTTTGATATAAACAGTGGCATCGCCATCCTCCGCTAGGTGGCGTGGCACTGACATCAGTAGGAATTTTATTTTAATGGCAATTTCAAACAGACCAGATTTTAGCCTACTGACCTTAAATTTAGCAATACAAATAGGTTTAAGTCCATATAGACTGCTGTATGGTCTTAAACTTTTTAAAGTCAAGTTAGTTCCTAGGCACATTTTTGGGCCATGTACAGCCATTTTTAAACATTTTTAGTCAATTTTTACCTAAATTAAGGTCAATGGACTAAAGTCAGAAATTTGTTATGGGTGTGAAGGCACTTGACTACAGCGATTTTTCTAGTTATAACTGCAAAGTTTAATCTAAGCTAGAAAACACGTGTGGTGGTCTGTATGTAAGTACATATGTACATTTGCACATATGTATGTATATAACTTAATCCCATAATATTTATGATGTTAAGAATTTACGCACAGGAAATAATAAAAAAAATATATGAAATTAAAAATAGCAGCAATAAAAAGTAACTTGATGTGCCATCTTTAATTAAACTTCTTATCGCAGTGGACGCTTAGTTTCCAGCGGCAGTCAACGGATTTTTGGGCCATTTGCTCTGGCATTATGTATATGATTTAATAGCTCTATTTCTCCATAAAATTCGTGGGGTATCATTGGTTGCCCCTATCAGTCTAGTGTACTTTTGACTTTGAGCTAAATCCTAGGGGCTTATCAGTGACGTCCCATTCCCAGCTTGCGATTCCTCATCTTTCAATTTTATATATACATATAGTGTATTTAACGTTTCTGATTTTTGCACTTTGGATCGCTAATTGCGTAATGCAAAAAAAGCAGACGAAAAACGGACAAAGAATCTTTTAGAAACATGACAATGACCAGAAATCGCATTACCTCCAATATACTATACTTTTTCGCACTGAAATCAAGCGTCAATCAGCCGCAGATTGTTTGCTTTCTTTTTAGCAACAGCGAATTTTTAGAAATTAAAAACATACTAAATAAAAGTCTGAAAAATACATATTTATGCCGCTCTATATATATTTGTATGCATGAAAATAAATTTATACATAGGTGGCATATAAAAGCCGTTTGGTTTATTCAAGTCAAGTCAACACACTCAAACTCGTCGGGGAATAATTTTTTGGTACGACATGAAGATTCTTTGAAAACCGGTTGCTTTTTAGCTGGGATAGAAAATGGAAAAAATAAAGGGGAGTGTGTTCAAATTTGCGATCTAAAGAGGGGGACAAACTTCTGAACAGTGATCTCTGCATAAGTTATGCCAAAGACTATCGATGAATATGCAAAAAAATTAAAGTATATTATTGTATACTTTATATAAAAAAAATAATTGTCATTTGGTTATGAATTATTTATTAGATCAGCCGATTACTAATTATTGGAAATATTAAATATTTAGAAAACTTGAACTGAAATGTGTATATTTGATTGATTTAATTTTAAAAGTATTATAATACTTTATAAGTATTTTATACTTAGTATAATATACTTATTATATGTATATACTTATAAAGTATTATCAACAATTTGAACATGAAGACATATTTATTTATAAATTAAATTAAAAGCCATTTATCATAACGACTATATGATTTCAGAACTTTTCCTCTAAGATCACTCTTTTTGGGTTTATAAAGTTTTTAAAGAGAGAAATCCTTTGGTTTAAAGATTAGATACCTTTGTGATTATATCTTCAGCACTTATTTTGTTTATCACTGGATATATACATATATGTGTATATGATTTATTTTGTTATACAAGATTGATTTTTATAAATATGATTTTTAAACTATATAATATGTATTTTAGGATCCACCAAAAATATTTCTTTTAAACTATTCTTTTAATCTTGCGGCTGCACAACTTTTGCAGGCACTGTACCCCTTTTGTTTGTGATTTGTTTTGACAACAAACTTAAGCTTATGCAACAAACTTAAAAACATGAAAATATTATAAATGTAGACCTAGTGCACTTTGCTCCGTGGCTAACCCCTGCCCCTGCCCCGCCCGTTAACCCCCCGCAATCTGGGTTATCAGACGTATTTGCCCGCATCCCAACTGGATAAGATAGTAACGATAAGCAATCCAATTAGAACCTGGCTATTCGGATTCACTATATTTGTTCTAACCAACTTGTAACTTTAATTATTGCTAAACGTCAGCAAATTGGAATTAAATTGTAACTCGATTGACACGTAGATGGGTGCAAAAACAACAAAAAAAATCATAATATAATAGATGAAGGGGGTGTTGCGATGTGCTAATTGGCTTGCTAAACAGCTGTTAACGCCGCACAAGTTGAACACAAAAAACAAAAAACAAACACGGCACGCAATTCAATTAAGGAAACACGCAAAACGATAAACAAAATCAGTGAACTACTGTGTATTTATTATTTTGGGCGCACAAATCACTTTCACTGTCACTTCCTCAGCGCTCCCAATTAGAATTTCTCGGCCACGGTGTTTAAATACATATGTAAATATATCCACACATATATATATATATATCTAAACATATGTAGTTCAAGAGCGGAAAATCGATTTTTCGCTGCACTTTTTAATCGGTGTTCACCTTGGTGGGCGTAGCGCAATAAGTGGGCGTGGCGGTTATCTAACGGCGTTTGTTGTGATCCCAAAAACTTGCAATAAACTTATTAATAAACATATTATATACCTAGTGTGTGTGTGTGTGTGCGTTGGGCGAGTGTACGAGTTCCAATCAGAATCGAATCAGAAAATCAAAGCTCCTTGGCCGCTAGACGCAATTAAACAACTGAAATGAAACTGAAACCGAACCGAAATCGAATCGAGGGTGCTGGCAATGTTTTTAGTTGTTGTTCTTAGTTGATTTACCGACTATGTGTTTTTCTTATTGTTGCAGCGCGCGTGGAAAAGTCACGATAATTAGGTTTTAAAAATATCACGCCTGCAGCCCTCGTAATTGGGGCTTTCGATAGAATGCGATAGATCGATAGGCGATTTTTAATTGCAACATTGGAAAGCTCGTAAGATATTTCAAAAATAACGGAAAGATGTAAAAATATCACTGGTTTAAAACATTTCTCAATTAAATGGATATTGAAATGTCACTATTTTTTTAAACAAATCAATTAGAAATTTGGGTATTTTTTTATACTAATGAACATACATCTGAATATCACAACACACAAGTGATCGCTTGTTAAAGATATATTTACCTCGATTTTTAAACATCTTTGCTCTTGTTGCTTCCAATCATATGTTTATACGAGTCATAAAAATGGTTAATTTTGTAGGAGGTTCCAAAATATTAGAGGATTATCGTTAGCACTTAAGAGGTATAGATCCATTTACGTGTTCCAATGTTTTGTATCCAGAGCCATGAGGTTCAATAGAATGACGGGGCCACGAATTCAAGGATGTTGTTTGGATCTCTCTAATTTTAGGTTTTTTCCCCGATCTGTGAAGTGTCGATCCTGGTCTGTATAATATAAAAATTTGTAAAGGTGACAAACAGCCCTTAAAGGCCTACTTTGGTCTGAACATAAATGTATTGGAACTAAAAGTTTGCTTGAAATATTATTATTTATAAATTGGATTGTATCAGTATTTTAATTCAATGGGTCTTCTGGTAGAGACTGTTATTTTTGTTGCTAAAGAAACGTCGAAATTTTCCATATAACGTTCTGAAACAGGTGATGTCAAATAAATATGATATGCAATATAAACGTTCTCATTTCCCATTGTTTTATTTCAATCGAAACTTATAGCTAGTCAAAAAAATTCGTATAATTCTAGGGCTATGTACAGAGTGTATTTTTGGATGGGGATGATGATACACCCGCTGGAACCTTGGCTACGTGCTGATGCCCATGATGGACTCAATGGAGAAGCTCAGCTTGGGCTTCTTTTGGGAGACGGATGAGGGTGTTCCTAAAGTCGGAGGATTACTGATGGGCGGGATCGTCGGCGGCACTGGTACTGGGTGATATAGCTGCTGCTGTTCCTGGTGGACCGCGGCGGCGGCAACGGTGGCAAAGTACAAAGCGTTCCCGCCCAGAGTCGCCTCCATCACGTGGTTCAGTTCCGGATCGGCGAACGCTCGTCGTTTGCGCATGCGCTCCATCAGGGGCGAGCTAAACGTGGGAAATCGCTGCTTGTATTCTGGAAAGAATCATAGAATGAAAGGCAAAATTAGTGAATGTTACTAGGGGGCGTTATCACTACAAATTGCCGCGATTCGTCATGAATTGAACCCATTTATTATTGGGTAATCCGAGACACGCGACGTCGAGCCAGACAGTCTGGCACCGGTTCGATTTTTAGGGATCGCCTCGCCACTTATTCGGAAACCAGATGGAAAACCCAAAAAGAAGTCAATTGCTCTGGCTGTTGCCACATTTTTGCTCTCCTACTCGAAGAGGTTTTTCCGTTTTGGTCGCGTCTCAGTTTACGAAAATGCGACTCCCTCAAGTGATTGGAAAATGTGCGTACACACACATTTCGAGGCATCCGATTTCAATTGTTTTTCGTCAGTGGGAATAATTGCTATTGCTATTGTTATTGTTGCCAGTGTTGTTGGGCATCAGTCATTTCCTGTCCACGTCCATGGATGTCCATGGACAGCAGACAGAAGACGAAAGGCAGGAGAGGATCTCCAATTACGGACGGGCCAGACAGTCTGGCACCGTATGGAAAACCAGGGGGAGTAGGGCCCTGAATATCTATCATTTCAGCTGGGCTATATATGTAACTGAGTCCAGAGATTTACAAATTGGAAAGTCTATTTCTAACATTTTATTAGGTGTCTGGGATTTTAAAAAAAAACCTATTTTCGAAAGTTCTCCACTATTTTAATTTTTACTTATACCGAGATATGTGAGGGTTTCAAATTAATAGTTTCAGGAATTAACCTTAAAGACATTTTAAAAGGTTTTTTAATTGGGCAATAAAAGCCATGTTCAAGATTTTCCAAACACTTAAAAAATCAAACTGATAAGCAATTATAAATATCCATTTAGGCATCCATTTATCTTTCATGGTATTATATCTCCTATTTTCTTTTAAATATTGGTTTAAAAGGTCAATAGTATGTTAAAGATTATTTCCAGAGTTACGCATTTTGAACTTCAATAATAATGTGTTTAATTTTCTTTTTTTTTACTATTAATTTTTTTAATATTTGTTTAAAAATAAAAGGTCAATGAAATGTCAAAGACTATTCCAAGAATTATGCTTTAAGAACTTCAATAATGATGCATTTTAAATTATTTTGTTGTAATTAAATTTTAAATTTTAAAAATTAAATAATTTTATATTTAAATAAATTTTATACCTTAGGAGTTTTTAAATAATTTTATACTTTAGAATTTTTCAAATTAAAAATTCATTCCTTTTATGATCAGTTAATATACTAAATGTAAGTTGATCTCAAAAATGAAATAAAGTCAAAATAGGCAATAGCTGGAAAATATTTAAGATATTTCTTTTCAAAAACCTTTGTTTTTTAATCCACAGTCTAATAGATCACTTTTTTCAGGGTTGTAAATGGGAATTTCCAATCCAATTTCTTAATCCAAATGATGTAGTGTACTAACCTTCCATGGCAGCGGTGATATGGAGCGTGGACTGCTGCAGGCTGCGTAATCTCTGTTTATAGATCCTCTTTTGGGCCATGAGGGCTTGTCGGGTGGCGGATGAGGATGAGGAGGTGGTCACAGATGATGCAGGATGCGGATGTGGATGAGGATGTGAGTGTGCCGGCGGTGGTGAAGTTGAGGCCAGGGAATCTTCGCCCTCGCTGCTGGAGGTGGCATTCACCGGCGGCATTCTCGGGGGCCTCGTGGATGAGGACGTGGTGGCCTCCAGGGCCTCCATGGTTTGCTGGCGGCGCAGGGCCACCTGGGCGGCCATGACCCGCTGGCGGTCCACCACCAGTTGGCAGTTGGGGCAGCAGCACTCGCGCCAACGGCACAGTCGCTTGTGACCCTTGACACAGGAGATCACGCCGTGATTGCGGCACCTGGCACACTTGGGCGTCCTCAGGAGACGTCGCTCCCGCTGGCAAATTCTGGCACTGGCGTCCTTGCTCATCCTGACTCGCTGATCGACTAAAAGGATGCGAACTGGGGCGCGAACATTTAAACACTGGCCACCGCAGCTACTTGTCGCCGTCAGACAGTCTGGCAGCGTCAAGTGGTTTCTTTTCTTTCGACTCTCCCAGGGGATCCGAGGTATACGCACGTATTGCCCGAGTATTCGAGTATCTGAGGGATCGCGCTGGGTATTGGGCCCTCGCCTCCCATTGGCTGCTAATCGCTGGCTCTAAATTTAGACGATCCAATGGCCGCACAGATGTCTCCCATCAGCATCCGAAAGATACGTTGTGCTACAGGAAAACCTCTCTAAGATCGACTAAAATTTTTTGAGGCAACATAGCTCTGATAAATTGAAAATAATAATATGATATTGGTTCAAGTGTTTAAAAGCTTTTCTACCTATCAACAAACCTTTAAAACACTTATACATTTTTTAATCGCAGTCCTTATAAAGGCACTTATTTTTTATAAAGTATTTTCGGGGTTTAATTGATAGTATTGAATATCTGTATATAAAAATAAAAAGATCTAAATTTTTAAATAATTTAATTACCATTTAAACATTTGAATATATATATGTTTTTAACTTTTTAACAATAATTCAATCATAAGATTCATAAATAAATATAAAAGGACTATAAAGTAGACTAATACAAATTTGACAATAAATAATTAGTATTATATTTCTCGTGTTAATGAAATTCCGTATGATTTTTACTTCTTATACTCCGTATTCCCTTTGGTATTTTTTTTCAAACATTACCTGGACATACGCAAGCCAAATTGCTCTATAATTCCATATTGATCATCTGGTTCCACTTGAAGAAGCTTGACCGTACTTTTCCCATCCGGACGTCTTTGTTTGGACTCTGTATTTCGTGAAAGTGCATATTGATTTCTGGCTGTCTTCCTTTAATATCTTTATTCATATATTTGACTCAATTTTGGTTTACTTGTATAACAATTTGTAGCATTATCTTATATAGCACGTACATTTATATATATATATTTATATCCGTATAAATACAAATTCAACACGAGTTAGCTTTATCGTTTCATTAGCTAATAGTATGTAAAAAAAGAAAAAAATTTCTCAGCGGTTTATATTCTAGTAAGTGTTTTTGGGGGGAGGACTTTCCATTTGATGCCTTTTAAATGCCTTCTCTATATATGTTTGTGTATATATAGTTATATATTTCTGGTGCAGAGCGTTTCACAAGTATCAGACAGCTAGGCTTTAAAGTTTTCGGAAAAATTATGGCCAACTCTAGGCGATTGTCAAATATTAACGAATTCAGCCAGCTTTTAATCAGGATATGTAATCGAACTCACCATTAAAAGGTGTAAAACTGGAAATCTGGTTCTGCAAAACCGAATAAATATATCATCTCATCCCACTCTTCACAATTGTGAAACGCACTGTCCCCGTAAGTATATAATATACGTTCATTTAGTAAGTGTAATTCAAAAAGTTGACCGAGTTCTATTAGAGGATTACGTAGATTAAAGCTTCAGCTAGAAGTGTGCCAGGTTTTCGATTCGATTGGTTTGGTCAAAATACAGGTGCGACTAGGAAAGGACTGCCAAGTGCGTTCTATTAAATTCTACAAAGATCCAGCGGACAATCTGGTGATGGTAAACAACGAACTTTGATAAACGTTCGATAATTGGAATTATAATTACTTGATTTACAAAGAATCATAAATGCTTGCAAAGTTATTGTCCTTTACTGTTCAAAAAACGCTCTCTAAATGGAAATCTATATGTGTCCGTATTGGTGTGTGTATATATATATCCCCGTTAAAAAGTTTTTTGATCCTTGAACCAACTAAATCTAATTACAAAACACGCGGCTCTACAAAATTCGAACGAACGCAAATCACAAAAGTACAAACTTCACGCACATATATATAAGTATATGTATTATACGATATCATAATATATCTCGGCTATGGATTGTAACTACCGTAAATACTTTTGATTTCCTTTCGATACGATTCATCGCTCTTGACACAGACGCACTCTGAATTCACTTCATTTGCTATTATATCACAATGCTTAAAGGGCTCACCGCTTCTCGATTTTCGACTTTTAATTTCGATTTCGATCGGGCTTCAAATTCAACAACGATTGATTGCCAAACGACGATCTATCTATAGAGTTTTCTAATATAACAGGCTCACTGGTCGCTAATCTATATCATACAGCTCGCGAAATAATTGTATTACCTTGGTTTAGTGGTCTATTATGCTTTGACCAAGATCTCCTTCAGTTTCCTTTGGGTTTTCTTATTGAAGAACTATACTTAGGGGTTGGGTATACCGTTAAGTGGGAAATTTGAGAGTCCAAGTGGCAGATGATCTTCAAATATGAAAACAATTTGAGAATGGAACTGTAAGATTTGTAGGGTGTTTTGGTTTTTACTTTAACATATTGCCTTTTAAATCTTGTAATCATTTGTTTTCTATAAGTAAAACCCAGCAATATCTAAAATTCCAGACCCTTCAAGTTCTGCAATTATTTCGCTTGTTGTATGCGACAAATTTCAACAAATGTGTGTGAGTTTTTTGATCGAGGCTGCATCTATCAATAAAAATCCTTACATCAAATTTAGTGCACGACAATATGGGTATATTGTATAACTAGTTAATAGGCTCGTTTGTCCTTTGGTGCGGGTTTTTAGATTACATGGCTCTATAATAATACTTCTGGTTGTGTTGGTAAGCAGTAGAAAAGTAAGAAATTCTCATGGCTAAAGTGTGGTAAATGCAATTTTCCACAAGGTTTTCTGTTTTCTTTCTTTTTTTTGGGTTTTCCCTCAAAAGGTATCTCAAAAGGGGTTTTTCCAACTAAAAGGCGATAAATTGAGTGCCAGCTAAGCGGAAAATTTCGCAGTTGGTGTGGGGAAGCCGCCTGTGATCTCGGTGATCTCGATGATCTCGGAATCTCGGGATCTTCTGATCTCTAGACGATGCTGTTCCGCTTGGCGGTGGAGCGCTGCAGGGTGTTTTGCATGGCGGCCACCACCGCCTCGGCGCCGCCCGTGAAAATCGGCTGATTGACCGCCCGCCGCAGGACATGCCACATGGCCACCGGTTTCCTCAGCGAGGAGAGCATCTGGTGCCAGTGGCGCAGGCCCTTGCCCACCGCACAGCTGCCGGCCACGATGTGTCCCAACGGGGTCACCCCGTTCGTGGTCACCCCGAACACGGTCACCCGCAGCTGGGCGGTGGTCAGACTGGGTGGCGGCACGCTGAAGATCATCGACTCGTTGAAGATCGGACTGCGATCCTTGCGCTTCAGCGAGGTGCGCTTCTTCAGCACCTTGCGATCGTTGTCCATCAGGTAGACCTGTAGGAGAAGGGGAAAAATAAGGGATAGTGAGTATTACAGGTCGAAAAATCCTTTAAGAAGTGTGTTGGCCATTAGGCCAATCTTTGCATCAGCTGAAAATTGTAATTGGTGATCAAGAAATATTTGAACTAAGGGTCAGAAAATAAATCCATTCCATTTAACTTCACTAACACAATCTATGATCAGCTGAAGGTTGTAATTGGTGACCCCGATTCTTGTTTTACAAAATCTGTTGGTCCGAAATTATATTAACTAAGGGTCGGAAAATAAATATGAATTACGTTCCATCAACTAACTTCACTTACACAATCTTTGATCAGATGATGGTTTTAAATGATGACACTGATTCTTTATTTAAAAAATCAGTTGATCAGAAAAAATAAGTACTAACTCCAATCAAATAACCAGTCGATATGAAAATATTCGTACTAATTCCAACAATAAATGGGTTCTATAAGCCAATATTTGACCAGCAAAAGACTGTAATTGGTGACCCCGATTAAAAAATTATCAGATTAAAATAGTTAGTAATGATTTCGATTCTTTCTGGATCTTTCTAAAACGTTGACCAAGCCCTACATATATATATTTATAAATCATAATTGAGAATCATTTTAAAATTTAAAACATGTAAATTTAAGGTGGAAACTAAACATCCTGCATTCGGTTTTATCTTTGATCACTTGAAGTTTATAGTTGGTAACCTCGAAACTAGTTTTTCTTTCCGATGACAATAGTATTTTAACCAGTTTTCATGATAAAGTAGGGGTAAAAATTTCGAACCCACCTTGACAAAGACGCTATGCACCGTTTCCGTGGACTCGGGCGCTGGTTGATCCCTATCCAGCTTGAGGTTCCTGGCCTTGACCACCACGATGGTCAGCCGCTCCGCCGTGGGCAGGTAGCTCAGGGAGAACATCAGCTCGCCCCACCGGGCGTTGCACTTGCGGGAGTCGGAGAGCGGTATCCAGGTGGTGATGGGGCGTGGCAGCTCCCCGATCTCCATCTCCGCCTCCCCGATGAGCGTGTGGGCGGGGCCGTTGTGGTACAGATGGAACCACAAAGAGTGGCGAGCCTGTCGCTTCTGCAGCCAGAAGTTGAAGCTTTCGTTGTAGCTGGGTGTTAGAGCGGCCTTGACCACCTGGATTAAAGTGTAATTTAAGAGATTATGAACTATCCAATAAATCCAGACCAGTTCCCACCTTGGTTTGCATGGCACCGGGATGATCGGGCACCAGGTAGATGCGCACAAACGTGTCCAGAGACTCCACGCTGAAAGGACATATGAGTCCCTTGGCCTCCAGGACACTAACAGTCAGTTCCATGCCCTCGTTGCTAATGCTGTTCCTAAACGAACACGAAAGAATGATCTGTAAGATCTAAATTTCGAATTGGTATCTCTGGGCAACAACTCACTTGTCGTAATTAAGGCCAATGCATAAGTAGCCGGTTATTTGAGTGTACGGCTGATCCAATTGCTCCAGGAAAAACGTTGAGTCCGAAGTCACGGAATCGCAGGAGATGGCTCTCTCCAGATTGATGCCCTCCATCGAATTGGCCACCGACCCGGAGCCGGAGTCCAGGGATATCTGTGAGCTATTCCTTCGGCCCAAGCCCATGCCCAGACTCAAAGTGGAGTCCTGACGCAGCAAAGAGCGTCCAAAGGACCAAGTTCCATTGCCATTTCCGTTAACATGACCAGATCCCGATCCGGTTCCGGTTCCATTGCCATTGGCCATGGGACTGAAACCATTGACGCCCAACTTCCGGAACAGATAATCCTCGGAGATGGTTTTTTGCAATAGATGCGGACCTTTGACTCGTTGCGAGAGACCAGTAAAGGGATTCGTGGTGTTGTGGAGCTTAAGGAGTCTGCTGGAGAGGCTTTGGGTTTCCACAAAGGGATTGCCATTGTGATGGGTGGTTGAAGGTTCTACTGGAGCAGGAACAGTTGGAGCAGGAGCCGTGTCAATTGGAGATTTTGGAGTAGCATTTGGACTTCCGGAAATGGTGGCATTCTGCAGAGTAGCTACGGTGACTTCTAGAGGATCGGAAGTGGGATTACTGGGCAACTGCTCCGTGGACTCGCACAGGAAGGGATTGGTGCTGGAGTTTCGACGCTTCAACGCGGGGGCTTTCCTCTCAACCTCCGGCATCGGGGTCACCTCGGACTTCTCCGACTGACCTCCTCCATTGATGACCTGCTGCAGGGACACCTGTCGCTTGGCAATGGGTCTGGGTATGGCCGTGCCCGAAAGGTTCACCGGCACGGTGGTGGTGAGCCGAGCAGGAGGAGGTGCCTCCAAAGGCTGGGGCAAGACACCACCACCACCTGCAGCTCCACCCACAGTTGCAGCATTTAGACGAAGGCAAGAGCGTCTCTCCTGGTCAACGGGATTCGGCATTTCGCTCGTCGTGGTCACCGTGACCTCGTTGACCTGGCTAAGGGCAAAGGTCACAGTTTTATTCGGATGCGGAGCCGGTCGATTGGGCGGCGGAGGAATTCGGATATTCGAATGGGGCAGGTGCCACATGGGTGTGGTGGCCTCCAGAACGCCACCGTTCATCAGGAGCAAGTGCGTCTGTGTCTGCGCCTGCGCTGTCTGCTGGGAGCGATGGTAGTCCTCCTTATCGATGGTGTCGAAGCGCTTGAAGCTGCCACTGGTGCTCAGCAGGAACTCAGAGCCGGATTGGATCTGCAGGGGGTAAATGAGGAATGGGATTAGCTTATTAACTCATAAATTAGAACTTAACTTAACCTATGCATTGAAGTAGTTAAGCTAATGAAATTCTCAACCAAAGTGTACTTTGGGTTTGGTATTTTTGGTACTGTCATACAATTTAATAACTCTTATAATTCTCAACTTCTTTTTTCGATCATAAAGGAAAATATTATTTTGTTAGTTCATAATCAAATAAGTTAATTTTTGATAGAAGTAATATTTATAAGATATATTGGGGTGTCCCAGATATCTTAAAGTTCAAAAAATACCAAGGACACCTACACTGGCCATATAACCATTGGCATGGAAGAGCTTTTGCTTGTGGTTGGACAACCCGATCTTCTCCTCCTTGCTGGATCGCATCCGCATCCAGTTGGCGGCCCTCGGACCAAGACAATGGCAGGCGAACAGGATGCCCAGGATCAGAACTGCCAGGAGCAGTAGGGCCAAGGAAATGGTGAAGCTCATCATATCCAAGTGAGTGCCATGCGTGTATCACTATCAATACAGATTCATCACACAGCTTTCCTTAAAGAAATAGAAAGAAATATATTTGATTATTTTGCTCATTAAATAAATTAGTTCTTTAATATTCTATATATTTTTAATGCTTCTAATGGTAATTTAGATAGTTTTTACACTTTTTTCAATGAAACAAAACCATTGTATTGAACAAATTGCACAGTTTGGTATATTGGTTACTTGGTCTACAATATTCTTTAAAACTATAATTGGTTTATTAAATAACAGAGCGGAGATTTAAATAAGCGAGTGAGATTTTAGTGAAGTTATGATAGAGAATCGGGGTCACCATACTTAATACACCAGCAATCAAAGTGCATTTTCTAGTTTTCCCGCACAAGTAAGGCAGCTGACAATGATTTATTTTTCAACAGTTTATCCTCATCTAAAAACGAAAATAAAACCCAAATGTTTTCATCGGAAACTGATGACAATGGGCGGAGAGGTGGGGTTGGTATTTTAGAGATTTTGAAAACACTTTCATCTAGCATCGCTTTACACTGAGCAATTTGCCTCATCATTGCGAGGTGGGCGTGTTTGTGGGAGTTCGGACAGGTGCTCGTTCTCGTTCTCAATCACAGACTTTGACAGTTTTTCAATTGAATTTGTAACCGAAGACGCAGCATTGCCACTTCAAAGCGGAGGCGACCAGAACGGTTGATGGGAAAGGGGGATGGTCCACCATGACATGACAATGGATCATCCGCTGACATACTGCCGAAACTCTTTATCACATACGTTATCATCCGCATGGTACTGACGTCGGCGGGCCCTCAAGGAACTTAGGTAACTTGGGACTTGGGACTTATGATGGATTACAGTAGAACTTCCTTAGAGTGATCAAACAATTGGCACATGACAAAACCTACTTGGAGGTGCAGATAGATATAAATTGTAAGCCAACCCATAAAGTATTTGTCACAAGTACAAAGTGGAAATAACACATCTACCCATTTAAATACATATAGGTAATATTATAAGATGTCTTAAAATTTCTTAAGTATATTACTTTTTGAAGGTGATTTTAAAAATAGCAGATATTTGAACCCTACCTTAAAGGAAAAGCTTTTATTTTCAAAGTCAGTCCCTAGATACTATTTTATTTACGATTAAGAACAATTTTAAATTAAAGGAACAGTTGAAGTTATTTTAGTTTCACTGTACTTGGCCAAGTTCATTAGGTGGAAGTGTTCGCTAAGCCTTGGTACTTATTTTCCCACCATTCTGTCCACATTAATTTGCCCGGTAATGCCCGCTAGTGCATCGCATCCAGTTCATTGAGCTGGGCATTAAGTCGGTTTAATTAAATGCCTCGGCATAAGTGCAACACATTTAGATGCGAAAGCAGGGGATCGTCCAGCGGATACCCTTTATTAAGGGACCAGGGTTCCTTAAAATAGCATGGTACACCCGGCTAACTAAAATGTGTAATAAGTGCTTAATTGGGCGTTCACCCTTAAGAGTGCTTACAGTGCGAAAAAATGCTGTGATATATTTTTTGAAGAAAAGATTAGATGGTAGATTATAAAAAAAAAACCAATTTAAGAAATTCATTACAAATAACAAGGCTACGATTTATTATAATTAAGAAAACAATACAAAATAGGTCGATTTTGAACATTAGGTCGATTTTAAAGCTTAGAATTTTTAAGAGTTACATTTTATGATAGGGTATATTAAAGATATAGGTATATTATAGGTAGTGTTTATTATAGAGTTACAATAAATAAGGGTAATAAAAGAACAAAGCAATTAACTATATGATAAACAAAATACATAAAATCTTAAGCTATATTATACACTGATTATTATTTATTACTTGTAGCGTTAGGAAGCCTAAAACAATAAATAATAATAATAATAATAATTATAAACTGATTAAAAATAACGTAGCAAACGCTTTAATTTTATATTGTTAAATTGATAAATGCGTTAAAGAAATATAACATCATCGTGTCTATTATTCACTACCTTAATTCCAATATTTTGAAATTAAGACAAGCAATTTAGTATGCTTTATATTATAAAAGGCTTTGTCTAAAATTTTTATTTTTATTAAAATACAAAAAAAGACATATATGTATTTATTTAAACAAATTAATTTTTTTATAACAGAGCACATTAAAAAATAGTGATGAGTTAAGAAAATAACTACTGTGAAGGGGTATAAAAAATCTGGGTGCCTTACCTTAAATAAACGTACTAAAACGTAGGTAGTCTAGGTAATTGCCGTCGTAATTGGCCGTTAAAATTTGGCTAGTGTAGGGTCGAGATGGCCGCACATCGTCGTGGCTTAGGAGGTCTTTTAGCCGGGCCAAGAGGCAGCAGCCAGCAGAAGTGGCACTTTTCATTAACCTACTGGGAGGTCATTCCACTGGCTCCGCTCTGTCTTTTGTTGCTGCAGGTGCACACACTCACGCACGTCCCCCGATATCTGATATATGTATATACACTACACTATATACTATATATACTATGACATACTATATATGTACCATAGTTTTGGGCCTGAAAGTGTCGCCCCGAATTAGCCAGAGATGACCTCTTTTCGGCGTCCTCAAAAATGGGACAAACTGGGAAAAATGAATGCCAGTCACGTCAGCGAGAGACAACTGTAGCCCTTAGCCCATTTCACAGGGAAAAAAAAGGAAAACAAAGAACGGAAATCAAAAAGTTTTCACTGTGAAATGGAGAGTGAAAAGCAGGCGAAAGTCAAAGTAATCAGAAATGGGGAAAGGCAGGAGATGGAGGCTCAAGATAAAAGGCCAAAAATCTAGAGCAACACACACAGACTCACACACACACAAACACTCACAAAATAGCAGCTCATTTGGATTTCCCTGGGTTTTCCCCATTTAGTTTTGCACTACAAAAAAAAAGAGCATCGCCTTACCTTATTCAAATCAGTTATTATTCATTTGGCCACTTCTTAACAACAATTATTGTATCACTCTGATTTAACAATAAAAATAATAATAACAAGTAGCAGCGCTGCGGAAAGAGGAAGAGCAGGAAGCGGAAGTGCGGGCGGAAAATTCGCTCATTTTCGTAGACCGTTCGGTGCCAAAACTCGCGGCCAACTGGGAGAAAGCTGGCCAAACAGCAACAACTTTGGTCCACTTTCACCGCTTTTCGCATGCTCTCTTTGAAATTGGTTATCTGAACTTTAAGCTTCGCTTTGAAAGCAATTTTAGTTCCTATTTTGAGGTTTCAGTCTTGGTAAAAGCCTGATTTCGTCCTGTTTCACAACAAGCTTTTGCCATAAAGGATAATTATGGTAGCGGTCGACTTGGTAAACAGCATGATTTCGTCCTGTTTTCAGTCTTAGGACAAGTTTTTGACATAAAGGATGATTATGGCAATGGTCACCTTGGTGAAAAGCTTAATATTGTCCTATTTAACATTTCGGCAAAGCTTTTGCCATAATAATGATTGTGACAATGGTCGACTTTCATTTCGTCCTGTTTTCAGTTTAAGGACAAGCTTATTGCACAAATGACGATTATGGCAGTGATAAATAGTTTAATTTCATCCTACTTTCCGTTTTGGGACAAGATTTTGCCATAAAATCTTATAGTGGTCGCCTTGGAAAAAAGTTGACTCTAATTTCGTCCTGTTTTCAGTTTTAGGACAAGCTTTTGGCATAGAGGACGATTATGGTAGAGGTTGCCTGGGAGCTAAGTTTAATTTCGTCGTTTTTTTTAGATTTGGGACAAAATTTAGCAGTCATGAAAGTTTGGTAGTGGTCGCCTCTGCAAAAAAAATGTATTATATCATATTTACTTTTTGGGACACGCTTTCTATATAAAGGATAATTATAGCACCTCTTTGAAAAGTTTAAGAGCATCTAATAATCAGTCTTCTGAAATACTTATGTCATAAAGGATGATTATGGCTGTGCTCTCCTCGGTGAAAAGCTAAATTTCTTTCTATTTTGGGACAAGGTTTTGCTATAATGAATGATTATGGTAGTGGGTGAAAATTTTATTTCGTTCAAGTTTCAGTTTTAAAACTAACTTTCCGCATAAAGAATAATTATATCTGTGAACGCCATATTTGTGTTTATTTATTCACCAAAATTCTATAAATTTACAAAAACTTACCATAATATGTTCATAAGCGGGTGATGAGAAATTTTTAAGATAAGCTTTTCGTCACGAAAATCGGCTGCGATTTTAGTTAATATTTATTTGGGATAGGATAAAAAATTGTAGATGCGAGAAAAATTTCTCAATACTTATCTAATATAATAGTTATATAAATAAATCTCGATTTGCATAAAAATAAAAAATACAATCAACTTGTGTTTTTTTTACCAGTTAATAAACTTTTGACACTCAATGTTAAGCACTTGGCATAATGTTTTAAATTAAAAGACGACAAGAATTTTTTTTGATATCAAAATATTTTATTTAAATCAAAATAGACCGAAAATCCCAAGTTGGAAAGATGTGTTTTCGATGAGGCGATATTTTCCAGTTGCCTCGTGTCACGCCCTTCCACGGGGGCATCTTCCTCGGAAGTTGCTTGCTAGAAAGGGGAAAGGTCAGCATGGAAGGCATATAACAGAAAGCTCTACCGTTATACCTGTTATACCCGTACCTGTACAATGCACCCGGGAAGAGCTGTTAAGCAACCGGCTTCGGGTGGTCTAGGTACTAGATAATACTGCTCTACAGCATCCCCTAGCTCTGGGCCCCTGCGGTACCTGTACCTCTAGCTCTGTTAGACCCATAACATGGGCACTTCGGGCCCGTTAACCCCTAGTTAAGCCTTTCTCCTCCCTGTAAACGCTGGGGAATCTTTTTTGGATCGCAAGCTTTAGAACACTTTGACCTTACTCAATGTTACTGCACTCTCCCTAATCTTGGAATTTTAACATTTGCCGAATCGCTTTAAGCGGATTAAGAAAAAGCGAAAAAAAATGAAATGATAGGGGTAGGCTAGAGGGAGGGAGGGGTAGGCTGGGGGGGGGGGGTCTTAAAACCTGAATAATAGATAGATACACACACAAGGGTCGGCCTTTCGGGCCGATAATGGCTTTAATTCGTGGTCAATCTAGCGTGACTCCCCAAAGGATGCTCGGCGCGAAATGTTTTTACATCTCTCTCAAAGCCCCGGAGCGGCTAATAAATTTCACATTTCGCAACTTGCCGCATTTTGATTTTGCGGCCATTACGCAATTTTTGGCAGCACAGCGAAAATCCAGCAAATCCAATACCCAATGCGCCACAAAATGCCAAAATGCCAAAATGCCAAAAGTGACGATTAAGAGTATACGCGGTTTTGGATAATTTTGCACAGAATTATTTCACAATTCCTCTGACAGCCGCAATCAGCAGATTGTTGGCCAAATCGAATTGCATTCAATCGACACTTTTGCAATGATATTTCCACCGGAAAAGTGTGTGGGTAGTAGGCTGGTCCGGGGGCTCATTCTCTACTCGATTGTCGGTCAAATCTTGGCCTGCGCCTGCAATAAAAGGAACCGCATTCGAGGCTGAAATGAAACAATAAAAATGAGTGGTTGGGCAAAAAAAAAGGCAAGGTCTAAATTGAAATGAAATGAAATGCCACGGAATGAAATAAAAAAAAATACAAATAAAAATATAACAAAAACAGAGGGCATTCCCGAGTTGAAGAGTCAAAGGCAAAGCAAATAAATTGTGCAAATTGTGGTAAATTGCAACTAACACAAACAGCAACTATGTTGTGAGTGCTTCTGTATAGTATGTATAATAATGCCAAATGCCGAAATGATTTCGAATGCAATTTCAATTGAATTTGCAAACAGGCTTTTCCTGCTTTTCCAGCCCGTTCCGATTTTTCCCCCCTTCGTTCTGATCGGGCATTACGAAAAAGTTTTAGGCCATACAAATAACGGCAAAAGTCCTCCCACAGCCCAGAAGCGTACCCCCCCATCGAATGCCTATCAACGAGCCCGTCAATTCATGGCAAAATATTGCACAAATGTTAAGAGACAGGGACGAAAAAAAAAGACGAAAAAAAAACACAAAAAAAATGGGGGAAAGAGGAAAGTTAAGTAAAGGAAAGGGGTAAACGCGGGGGAAAAGCGGGTGAAAACATGGAAAAAGGATTGGGATATCGGGAGGGGTTTTCCTAGGGATACAGCGGCAGATGCAGCCTGCATGGAAACTCGTTGGCCAACAAAGTTCTCCACCCTTTTGGGCCCTTCCAATCCCATTACCATTACCAGCCCCAACAAACCCCGTCCACCATCCCCCATCCACCATCCCCCATCCACCATCCACCGTCCTCCATCCTCCATCCTCCATCCACCATCCACCACTTCCAGTTCCCGTTCCCGTTCAATTGACAGTCCAATTAACCGGGAATTACCCGAAGTATGTGGGCCCATGGAAGTAATCCCCATTCAACGTCCCGAGTCCCATTTATTGCCTCTCAACTGGGCCTCTTAGAAGTGTTGTAATTACATAAGCACTGCCATTTTTTCATTTTCATTTACTCCCTCCCACCCCATTTTTCCCACTGCAGTTTGCACTTTTGCAATTTGCCATTTTCCCGCCCACGCGGAATTGTTATAATTACAAATGAAAAGCTTTAAAAACGGGCACAACACTTTTTTCATCATCTCAACTCAGTAAGCATAATTAAAATGGCACAACACTTAAAATGTATATAAATATATACCTCTATATATAGTATATATATAGTATATATAGTATATGCAAGAGTGGAGTTCATTTTGCCAACGGTTCAATGAACTTCAACTGAGATTTTAACCAACTGCACAGACATTTTTTCATCTCCGCTTTGTCTGCCATAATTATAAATAAATGTTTTTAAAGGAGCTGTGCAAGCACAGGAATTTGAGCAGCTTAAATACACGAAATTGAGTTTACTTTGCCCGCTACCCGGCGATTCAATAAATGTCAGATGGAACATGATATTTTCCCAGCTTATTTTCCCCCTTTTCACCGAGTGGCCATGGCAATTAAATATTTTCTGAGCATAAATGTAAACACACGAGATGTACATACTTATATCTATTTGATTAAAAATAAATATTTCACAGAGTTTTGTGCATAAGCACGAGAATTAAAAATTCAATTCTGACATATCGTATTCATTTTTCAAATCACAAATAAATATTCCATTGAAAGTTATATAAACACACAAAAGCAGTTAACTTTGTTCAATTCGCAAAATGTAAACACATGAAATACAAATACAAAATGCATAATATCTCTTTTCGATTATAAATACATTTTCCACAGAGATGCAATTCCCGCATTTGGTATTTATTTTTCAAATCACAAATAAATATTCCAATGAAAGTCCAGTTTGCAAGGGTTCAATGAACTGCCCGTCAGTCAGGGTCGTCGTTTTTAGCCAGCTATTTTCGAAAAGTGTCAACAGCGGTAGCCTTTTTTTTATTACTTCCGAATTTAATCAATATTAGCGAGCTGCAGCCATCAAAAAAGTTGGGAATTTAATTTTCCAAGCGAAGGAAAGTGAGTAATTTAAGTTTCTTCGCACAAACTTTGGCTAAGTGATAAACTGTCACGGAAGTGGCCCAACAATTTATCAGTGCGTCCTATTAAAAAACAGTTGAGTGGCTGTTATTAATTTACCAGCCACTCTCTTAAGAAATTGGAATGTTTTAAGTCTTCAAATTTAATTATCTTTTAATTCCTAAAGCCCCAAGTATGCAAGTTGTGGTATGAAATATGTGCACACAAAAAAACTTATAGGTAAAATGTACCAATTTAATGGTTAAATGGTCCCAAACCATATAATTTCAATGTGACCAACGAAATAGTAACTCCTCCAACAACAAAATACCACTACTTACAATTTTGTGGTAGTCTTACTATTGGGTTTAAGGGAATACATTTCCAAATATAATGGTTAAATTGTCCCAGCCCATCAAATTGTCAATTTTACCCAGAAAATAGTTACTCTCGCAACAACGAATAGTAAATTAGACCAACGAAATAGTAACTATACAAATATACTACCATTTTATGGTAAACTTACTATTCAATAGTTATCTAAGCTACAATTAAATACACGTAACTATTT